TTGTAAGACCATGCAAACACATCCTTGTACTCATCAAGTAGTTGCACATATCTTACTTCTTCCTCCAAACTCAACGATGCACTAAGAAAAATGGGTCTTGGATCATCCTCTGTACCCAAGTTCCGTTGCTTTAGCTCGTCAGTAGTAGCTTGTCCCCCCTCCTCAAAGGCTTCTGGGGCTGGATTTGGTTCTTCATCTGAAGAATCAGAGTCAGAAATTTTCTCAATTGAGGCATGGTTTGATTCAGCTGCCCTTTCCTCCTCAACGGAAGGCTTTGAGATCTCCTGCCCATCAAGGACGTCTTTACGTCTCCATTGATACTTCTTTCTTTGCATAGACTTGATCTTGTTCTTCTGAACTTTCTGACTCTTAGATGTTTTCTTTCTGTTTTGCTGCTTAGCACCAAGTCTAGAAAAGACTGAAGGCTTTTGAGAATGATTCTCTTGGATTGTCAATAGTGAAGGAGCAGGCCCTAGTCTTTCAAAAACTGACACTCGGATATTTTCTTGCTGAATCCTTTCCAGGGCTGAAACTCGTAGTTGTGGAGTCCCTTCAACCTCGTTTGTTTCAAAAATCTGGATGGTTATTGGGTTTGCTGACTTCTTTTTTATCTTGATCTTTGCAGGTTTAGATGATTGAAATCCAAGTCCATGCCTCTGCCTTGGCACAGGTTCTCCTCTCAACATGGCTTCCTTCCCAGTGTGGGTTGCTTGAGTACCGGTGAGGATAGAGTTCAAATCCCCAAGTTGCCGAGACTCTCCTTCTTTGAAGCCAGCCCTTTTTAGTAACATTTGAGCATGAGGATCAAACCATCCTTGAGGTTGCTTTTCATGTTCTATGGCTGTTTCAACCATTTCTTTTATAACTGGATTAGAAATGCCCAATTTAGAGAGTGTAGACAATGGAAGCACAAGATCTTCCTTGAGCACCTTCACATCCTCTATTGAAAGATGAACTTCAGAACTTGAAGATGGATCTTTTATAGGGCGAACAACAATTTTTCCGTCATTCTTTTGTTTTATTTGTGGCATCTTGATAGGAAGAGCTTCAAAATCATCTTCTTCCTTTTCATAAAATTTGGCATCGGCAAAATGGGACTCTTCTTTCGTGAAAGGCTCTTTCTCAGCCATAACACATTTTGTTTTGCCATCAGAATGATATTTAAAACATTGATGCCAAGTTGACGGAACCACCCCATTTTCATGAATCCATGTTCGTCCTAAAAGAAGCTTATATGATGTTTTAGCCTCTATGACATGGAACAAAGCTGAGGTTGCCATGTCTGCGATTTGAAAATTGATGCGGATCTTGCCAATTGCACGTTGGCCCTTTTGGTTAAAGCCTTGGATTAGGAGTTTACTGCTAGTCAATTCATCGACAGTTATCCCAATCCTCTTCATGATGTAAATTGGCATTATATTGACAGCAGATCCATCATCAATCAAAATTCGATTCACTTTGTGATCTCGAACAATACCACTCACATAAAGAGGCCTGTTATGCTTTTGGATTCCAAGCTGCAGGTCTTCATCTGTGAAGGTTATTGTTCCAAAACACCCAGCCTTAGTTTCTGGCTTGGCCAACTCACCTTGGAACTTTTTCGGGTCTAACAAAGCTTGTACAAGAGCAAGGCGTGTGTCCCATGAAAGCTGCAAGGCTTCGGATAACTGTAAATCAGATGGAAGTTGCTTCAATTTCTCTATACTTCCATCAGCTTCGGGATCATTTGATTGGCTCTTGGAACCCTCAGCTTCTTCTTTAGATGATGGTTTGTTTTCTGTCTTGAAACTTGTGACAATAACATATACTTCCTCATCAGAAAAATATCCCTCTGGAAAGTATTCATAAAGAGTAATTGCAGCTCTTTCTTTTGAGTTCTCATATCTTTCTCAGATAGTGACTTTCTCTTCTTAGGAACTTGTCGAAGTCTTGTTTGTAAATCAGACCTCCTTTTCACTAGCTGACGTTGTTCTTGATTTTTTGGTGCAGCTGGCAAAGCTGAAAGAAATGAATGATTTTGTTGGATGGATGGTAGTGTGGGTCTTGAATGACGCCTCCTCCTTCGTGATTGAACTGGAATCCACCCATCATCATCATTGTAAAAGGCAGGAAACTCAGAGTTTGAACACCATCTAGTCGGCTTTATCTCTGGATAGATACCATACATGATTTTATGAGAATCTGGGAGTGGCATTCCACTAGATACTGGATTATGGTGTTTTCTGCTCTTACTAATGAAGGTTGACCAACCATCGCCAACCTCATCTTCAGACTCAGATGATGATTCCCAATGTTCAAGATTCACCGTCATAAGGTCATATAAAGAAAGAGAGCCTGGACCTCCAGAAGTTGGCATGTCAGGATAAGCATAGGCTATCTTTTCTTCATCATCTGTTTGAAATTTAACTTGAATTGCCCCCTTGGGCAGGTGGGGGCCAAACTCCTTAGGCTGAACCATTAGTGGGGTTCGTTGCACAGGCAGGAGTGGAACTGGACTGAAGGATCCAAAGGAAACCATGGCAACATTGGTGGTAGCGGAACCTTCTTCACTTTCTAGTTGTATTTTGCCTTCTTTCTCAAGACGAACTATCAAATCTTTCAACACAAAACACTTACCGATTGGATGACTCACAATTCGGTGATACTTACAGTATTTTGGATCATTTACTCTCCCAACTTCCTCTGGGCGCTTAGGAGCTGGAAGTTCAATTAAGTTTAGCGCCAACAATTGCTCAAAGATAGCTGGCACTTCAGAGTCTGCAAATGGATACTCCTTTTGTTGCAACTCTTTCAAGGTAGACTTCTTCTTTTGACCCTGATCCTCAACAATCTTGACACCTTGTTTAGGATTTGGCTTTGGCTTTTGTTGTGAGATCTTCACAGGCGCTGTTGTGACTGCCATAGTTTCTTTTGCTTTTGAAGGTTTCACTTCCTTCTTCACATCTTTTCGAGACTCTTTTTTATCACGAGCGTCTGTTGGAAGAAAGTTGCCATGCCTAGCAATTTGAATTTCCAGGTCATGGGCACGAGTGGCCAATTCTTCAAAGGTATGTGGCATGTTAGCCTGAAGGTTATACAACAATCCCCAATGCATACCTTGCACACACATATCAATAGAAGAGATCTCACTAATCTTTTCTCGACAGTTTAGGACGAGATTCCTCCATCTTTCAATGAAGTCTGTCATAGACTCATCTTTCTTTTGCTTGGTGTTAGCAAGCTCAGGCAGGCTAACAGTACGCTTGGTACTATAAAAACGTGTCAAGAATTCTCGCTCTAATTGGTCCCAACTATCCACTGACCCAGCAGGAAGGTCAGTGTACCATTCAAAGGCTGCGTCCTCCAAGGACCGGACAAACTGTTTCACCATGAGGTCCCCATAGGTGCCAGCATTGTTGCATGTTTCAACAAAATGGGCGACGTGTTGCCTTGGGTTGCCTTTCCCATTGAACTTTTGGAATTTTGGTGGCTGGTAGCCGTCTGGTAGGCTTAGATTATCAATCCTACGAGTATAGGGCTTGGCATACACAAGTGAGGATTGTGAGGTCCCTCCTTGTCGAGCTCGAATCACATCATCAACTAAAAGTTTAAGTTGTGGAAATGTAAGAGATGCCACAGTAGCATGAGCAGTGTCACGGAAAGCACCTTGGAGAATTGTTCGATCTAGTTGTTCTTGCTTTTGTTGCTCCAAGCTTTCCTCCATGGTAACTTGCTTACCCCGATTTGAAGTCCTTAATGAGTCTTCCTTGTTTTCGAGGGCTTTTTCAGCGACTGAGCTTGATGCTGCTTGGTTATTCTGTTTTGATAAGTGTTGAGCCACTAAAAGTTCTTGGAGTTCCTTGATTTGGGCATCCTTTTCAGCCACAGCTTTCCTTAAGCCTTCCACAGCCTTGAGGAGAGCATCCGGGTCACCAGATGTCGCTTCAGTAACCAAGGCAGGTAAGAGGGACTCAGACGATGATGAAGGATAGTCAGCCCACCTTAACTTCGAAGCAGAAACATGACTGGGCTTGAGACTGAGTTCTTCACCTTCACTAGATTCTGAAGAGAAGTACTCGACATCCTTCACAGGCTGGAAAGGTGACTGGATGGTTAATGCTCGTTTTTTTATCGCAGCCTCCTTACGACGTCTTCTAGTGAATTGCCTCAAGGGGGAGACCAACTTGGATCTCGTCATGCGTGCTTTGGCACGAGTCAACAAGGAAGATTGATTGGAAAAGATTTGAACTTTTCGAGTTGCAATAGGAGTTATAGCTTGCTTTGAGTCCGCCATGCCTAGAAAGATATGGTGGAAATTTTTTTTTTTTTTCTTCAACTGAAAGATGAGAGGCAGAGATTTCCCCAGTGGAGTCGCCAAAGATGTGTAGTCACAAAATCTGCAAAATCAAATAATATGTATTGATTTGCAAAATAAATACAAAGTATTATAAACTTGAAGAAAAAAAATGGGAAACAATCTCTGATTTGGAATGCTGCAGTGTACGTGCTTGGGCTTTGAATAGCAACACGTCTTAGAACAGCACGATCCTCTGATTAACAGCTGAATTTTAGAAGGGCAAGGGCTTAAGCTTGTTCTTGTCCTTCAAGGGATTTAAGACTTGCGCTTGAAACTTTTCCTCTTGACATGAATTTGGAGATTACCCTTGGCAGGAGGCTGGGGCTGAAGGGCAAGGGCTTAAGCTTGTTCTTGTCCTTCAAGGGATTTAAGACTTGCACTTGAAAC